TTCTATTTTAATGTTTTTGGTGACAATTTGATATTGAATCTAAGCCTAAGTTAAAGGGTAACGCTAATTCTAAACCTACGGATAAAGCTACGGCGAAGGCAAAGTCTAAAGGTAAAGCTAAGGCTAAGGATAAGGCTAGTACTGAAACTACGACCAAGGCTATTAGCTGAGTCTAAGGCTAGGGATAAGGCTATGGTTAAAACAAAGGCTAAGGGTGAGACTAACAGTATGCAGTATTGTATCATCACTACCTTTCCCCCCCCCCCCCCCCAGCCTTTTACTAACACTAATCTTAAAACTCTTTTATCGAAGCCATATCTACTACAATACAATGACAACAGTAGTTAATACAGAAACCCTAACAAGGTCTAAAACTTCCAAATCTATCCACAAACACTTCCAATGTGAAAGCACTTTCTCGTTGTAAAAAAGTTATTTTAACTGTCTATTCACATGGGGAACATTGTGTAAAGTTCGTTGTGAACACGATCGCGAAACTGTAAACATTTAATGTTTGATGATCAAAAATATTTACTAGAAGCGTTTGCAGGCTCGCCTTGTGATTAAGGTGGTACTGTAGGGGTAGATTTTTTGTGATCTACTTGGTACTGTAATTTGCTGATTTTTATGTTGAAATAGCACTATGGTTTTGAAAACTAGAGATTTTTCGTTTTTTATTGCCCAAAATGAAACTTTTTTAAATTTTAAAATTTAAAATTTGGCTATTAGGTTTTTGTTACCTATAATACCATTTTTTGGGGTTTTTTTACCTAAACTTTGATTTTCTTGAGTTTTTATTACCCAAAATACGATTTTATAACTTTTGTTACCTAAAATTTGACTTTTTGTTACCTAAAATTCAATTTTATTATTTTTATAATCTAAAATTAATTTTTTTTGTGTTTTTATTACCTAAAACAATTAAAAATAGCAGTGTCGTTCTGTTTACGTCTCAAATGTTCCCTTCACAATATAATCACCCCTTGTTTTTAAATTCAAAATTCTTGTAAACACCCAAAAATAGCCTTATGGGAGCCACAAAACGGGGAATCCAGCCCCACTGAATTCCCCGTCTTTTGGCCGTGAACACAGTGTGGAATGTTCTTTCGCAATGCGAGCACACTGAAAACGAGGCCATTTCGTTTTTGGCCGTGTTTTCGCTTGCCGAATGTTTGGGGGAAAGGTGCACATGTTCGAAATCCGGTGCGGCACATGTTCGTCTTTGATATTTTTTGCGATCTATGATTGCTTGAGGGTTGTAGAATGTTTTTTAAGGGTCGGAAAGGTTTGGTAGAAGAATTTTGAAGAAGTTTTTTTGATTTTGAGTTAAAAACGGCTTATTTGGAGGGAACGAAGTCGTTTTTTGTTATGAGGAAGTATTTTTGAGGGGTACATGGCACAATTTGGCTTGTTTTTTATAATCGTAGCTATCAGAAATTGAAAGTCTTAGGGTTATCGCAAGAGGTAAGGCTAACGCAAGGTAAGACTGAGGCTAAAGCCATGGCTGGGGATGAGGATTAGGCTAAGGCTAAGGCTAATCACCAACTATGCCTTAAGCCCTAAATGTTTCAAGATTAATCTGTTCCGGTCGCCCACAAAAACACATGCGACCTTATGACGGAACGTTGAGCTCCTTGGGAATTGCCTGGGCTTCTTTCTATCATTCCAGTTGTTTTAACAGGGGTTAAACAGTGATTTTTGAAAAACTAATGAGGCTCGGGAATGCCTAGGAAAGCTGTTTTATGATTTTTAGGAGTGGGTGAACAATTTGCAAATTGATAAAGCTAAAAAAAGGATTTTTAAATTTTCTAGTCAATATTATAGTTTGAAGAGTAAATATTTATAGGTATCACAGTTGGACCGCGCACAAAATTTATTTCCAACCACATTTTGTAGTAATGTTAAATTTGGAACTAAATTGGCAGCAATATTGATGGCTTTGTTTTTAGCTAACTGGTAGTTGGGGCACTTTGTTTTGTACTTTTTCTTAGACAAAGTCAAAAACATCTTTGGATTCTCTGGGGTCAAGTGACGAAAAGGCTAAATAATAAAATATAATAGGTTAGGTTAATTGATAGAAATCTTTAGAAGTTGATAGTAAGCTAATGTAATTGTGTTTAGAAACTGTAATTTCTATTTATCTGGCAATTATTTCTAATCTTTTGCTTGTGTACTTAACGCAATTTCAATTTTTGGCGCGTTTCTAATCCAATAATTTTAGTTTTTTTACTTCTTTCATAAGAATTCGAAAACATTTTTTACAGTATATTTACAGAAAACTTCTGTTTTACATTATAGATTAGGTCATATTAACTTATTTTCAACTTTTGTACACCGTCTGTAGTCAGCACGCCGTCATAGCTTTAATACATATCACAAACGAAAGCTTTATACTGTGAAACTCTTGTATAACGAGTCGCTCGGAGATTTAAAGTTTGTTCGTTATAAGGAGTTTCGTTATAAAGAAGCTTTAAGTGCACTATGTAGTGGTGGACAGGGATTTAAAAGTTGTACGCTATACATGTTATAAAGGTTTACTTTATACGGGAGTTCAACTGTGCTTCTAATCCTTAAAACTACTTTTTGTTAGTTTACATTGTTGTTGAAATATATATCATAACTATTTAATATAAGGAACAAGCAAGCCAATCATATTTCTTTAGTTTAAAACCTGAAATACCCTTTTTCTTTTTGAAAGGTTTTGTGGCTACTGTTGAAGCGAGCGCAACGTTCTGTAGTGTAAAATTCTTGACTTTAAGATTTGTTTTTAAAAATAGAATTGTTTTGCTATACATAGTTTTCATGTGACACTGTTTTACAGTAAACTTTTTGCGTTTTACAATATATTTTGTAATTTCAACATTGTTTTTATATTTTATTTTTAGGAACTAATTAAATTTAACCCCAAAAATATACTATCATGAATTTATATCATGCAATATGATACAGCTAGGTGCTAAATCAGAGTTTACGATATTTCCCACGTTTATGACTTTGAATATAGAGATCACTATTTCATATCGAATATGAAATATTTTTGATTGCGGAATACGTTAAGAAAAATACCGTTGCAATCATTTTGAAAGTAGCATTGCAAAAAGTATGAAGCAATCTCTGATTTCAGTACACGTTTACGCTCAAAATTCTATATAAGGTATTTAGAACTTTTGTATAACGTATCACTCCGAGATGAAACGTTTTTTGTTATAAATGAGTTTTGGTACATAGGGGGTTTAAATCAACCTTTAAAGTCTTAAAATTTGTTAGTTGCACGAGATTTTTGTTATAAAGAAGTTTGTTATACAGGAGTTCCACTGTATTTTGAAGACTTTTTAAGCGTTCAACACCTTTATGTTACAACTTATCATTTGTGAAACCCCCATTTTCTCACACAAACTACCATCAGGCTCCAGAAAGCCCGTGGAAAGCCCCGGGCCGCCCTTTCACCCGGCGATCAGTTGAATAGTTGTGAGCAAACAACGCGGCTGTCACGTTTCCTTTCCACCCCCAAAAATGTGATAGCCGTGAATAACAACGCGTCTTTATAATTGGGGTTGATTCGACATCGCTGGTTCAGTCGTACCCTTATCGAACGGCGGCTACGCGAGTCTTTTTTTTGCTTCGACATTTTGAAATTTTCTTCATGATTTGTTGGCGAATGTTAGGGTAGTCTTTTAAGGGTGTTTTAAGTGAAGTGAATGTACTGGACACCTCGTAAGTGACAGAGCAAAAAAAAATTTTTTTGTTGATTTTGTGTGTTGAGATCTCGTACTCGCAACAAAAACGACAAGAGGTAGAATGATTTATTTTTCGGAAATCCCCGGCTTTTATACTGTCGATAAAGTACAAACAAAAGACAAGAGAGATTTGCATAGTGCTGAGAATTCTCCTCATTTCTTGGGCTTGACGGTTTCTCGAGCGGTCGGGTCTACCACATTCTGAAACTCCTTTATAACGAACTCCTCTATAACGAAACTCCTGTATAACGAACAACTTTTGAATCTCCGTTTACCACTACACAGTGCATTTAAAACTCCTGTATAACGAAACTCCTTTATAACGTTCAAATTTTGAGTCCCCGAGCGATTCGTTATTCAGGAGTTCTAGTGTATATGGAAGTTCGACTGTATATAATAGTTACATGCCTTAACAAGGCCTTTACGTTTTGCAGTTTTCCATCCCATATGATAACCACGTTAACATTGATTCCCCGTTACATTGTTCAAAATACACCCAATTGCCTTGAAGAACTTTCATCGCAAAATATATCAAAGACATTCTTTAAGTGTACCCCAATCGTCGCAGGGAATTTCATTGATAGCGTTTTTGTGGATAGTCATGATTTTTTTGATGTGGGGTTCCTTTATGATAAAGACGTAGGAACCCCTTCTGGAGTGGGGGTTTTCTCTTGGACTTTTTTGATTTCATAGGGCGGGGGTGCTTTATTAATGAATGCATGGGGTTCCTTCTTTATAATTTATTGATAAGGCTCATTAAAAGGTTCTCCAATGAGTACTTTTATTTTCATTGATAAGAAGTTGGGAAAAGAGGGGTAGGAGAAGCAATAGAGGGGTATGAGAATAGGGGTTTATGAAAAGAGGGGTTTTGGGGTTCCACCGCCGTTAGGGGGGTTTCCATCGTATAATTTTTTAACACGGGGTTTCCATTATATTGATACGCTCGTTATCATTCATTTCGCATGTTGGAGTGGGAATTAGGCTGTCTGATGCGTCATGCAAGAACAAATTACGAAATCGGTTTCTGGTTTTTCGTATACGAACGTAGAGAAATCAACTGATTAGTTGGGAACTTGGTTTCGGGACAGTTTGGGGTCGTTTTAAGGGCACGTGTCACGACTTTAGTACGTTTTAACTACATTTTTTATATTTTTAAGCCTTGGTTGTTTGCGCGCTGCTTGTTATCGTGTAGTATTTTACAAAAATTTTTAACCTCAAATACTTTTAGATACCCTTGTTACCTAAAAACATCGAAGCAATACAATGCTGCCAAACCGCCGCCGCTCCACCCTCAGCCAAAAGGAGGAACTCGTCCCGGGCCTAAACGGTAAGAACAATTCCCTAACCCCCATTTTCCGGTCGATTCCTTGAATTAAGAGCGACTGGACGCGGGATTGACCCATGAAAGTTGATTGGATTAACTGGAATGGGTAGTTGACTGGACTAATAGCTTGGACTGCGCGCTTGCTTTTGCTCTCTCTCTGTTTCTACACTTATGATGGCGGGCTTGGTAGAGCAAATGACTACCAGATGGCTCAACCATGTACATTATAAAGGTCTACATTAGAACGCAAATCAATCAATGGACAAGACCAAGTCAAACACTACAATCAAAAATGACATTACTTAAAATCCATGTAATCCTAATCGACCAAAAAAATCTACCGTACACAGAGAGAGACAAACAAAAAGCGCTAATAGGGGCGTCGTAAGTATTGTTAAGCAACAACTATAAAAGTACTAATGTCCTCTTCTCGTTTCAGCTGCTATTAAACGAAATTTCAAGAACTATGCCGATTGCCTAGATATTCAGGATCAGCGCTATCTCTGCGAGTTCTTGAGGCTTCGTGGTGACGATGTCCGTCCAAACGCTGAAGCTTTCGCTGCTGTACTACGAGATATTGAACTGATGGAGACAATCAAAGAAATGACTGCTGCTGCACTGTTTGAGTCTGGCGCTGACGACAAGATGGCTGACTTTTGTTTGGAGGTAAGAGGACAATGATTTTTTTTAAATTTTTTAAAAATTTAATTTTTTTTAATTAAAAAAAACTTTCTAGGCTTAAATGTGACTTTTTACTTTAAAAGATTAAAATTTCCATTTTCAGTTGATCGACATGACTCCTCAGCTTGTTGTCCTCCGTAAGCTCAGGCTAACCGAAGATATTGACGAAGAAGTCATGACCTCGCTACTGGAAGAGTTCATGGACCTCGGAATCAAATACATGAACTTGAATGAGAAAGACAAGCAGAGGTTGAAGATGATTGGCCCTAAGGTCCGGCCGCTGTTCTTGGACTTTGGCTTTGCTAGTAGCATCAAATTCTTGTTGGAGCACTTTGAACGATAGATCGGCTACTGTAATATCATTAATAGTAGCAATAAGCATCTCTAATAGATTATACTATCATATTTAATAGTGTATACTAGTGTCGATAGTAATAGTAGGCTGATCCTAAGTGCCATTTTATACGATAAAACGTGTACACAATGGTTTTTTATTAATGTAAATATTATACAAGTCATCGTGTTTTATCTTACTGTACTTTTCTTAACCTATCCGACTGTACATTCGTCTTTAATCGAATTCAGGGCTTTATTGTAAACAATCAAATGTCTACCAAAAATCTCTTAAAACGCATGTATGTACATACCATCACTCAGTCATATACGTACAATATACATATTCCAAAAATATTATTTTTAGCGGTGAATAGAATATTTTATAGATTTTAATATTTTCAATTGTGATCACTATACATAATATTTAATTGTTGGGAAATAAAGATAAATTCAAAAAATATTGTTTTGTGTAGCTGGTGTGCAAAGAAAATTACATTTTTTGGTTAAATGAGGTAGGGTAAGGCTGTAAATAATAAAAATGTTAAAATACGGTAAGTCCTGTAAAGATCTAGGATAAGAGTTAGAAGTTAGTTCAAAGCAGGATTAGAAAGAAGCTGGACCTAAAGAAAAGTAAAAGTAAGACTAGAATATGGCTTGCAAACTGCTAGGTTTAAGTTAGCCTAATGCAGATAAGATTAGGAAATAGCGAAATCCGAGTACGATAAGACTTAGGAAACGTATAAAAACAGTAAAAATAGAACTAGAATACAAAACTAGAGCAACGAATAATAAAATCGAGAGCAGAGTTAGGATAGAGAAGGTATGACAAGACCAAAAAAGGTCAGCTAAAAGTTTACTAAATTAACTTTTCTTTTGTAAATAATTGTAACTTATAGAGTAGGCTCGGGGTAGGGCAGTGGTAAAACTACTGGGTAGTCCAAACAAACATAGCCACTAAACTACACACTAGAAAAAAATTTTTTCAACAACAAGTACATACTTACTAATCAAAATGATTATGAACAGCATTAACATTAAAACATTTTTAAAATTTGTGACATTAGTAATGTAGAATTCAAAACTTCTAAAGCTAAAGAAAATTTTGATGGCCTCTGGCTTCGTCTTCTTCAATGAATTGTCGTTTACCTATAAATGCATTAATTGTTTGAAAATGCGGTAATTTATAGATGCCATGTCAGATGAGTACGGAGGATGATCAAAAACTTTATATTCAAGTCTTTTCGATTTTTCTTGGGACATCCTTGCCAGATGAGGATGGGCATGTCATGCAAGATATTAATGGGTTGTAGTTGAATTTCTTTTTCTCAGCATTAATGGTAGGTCGCGGCGTATTTTTGTCGATCTGTTCATAATATTTAAGTCTTAACTGTTATGTTCTGACCACGTTTTAAGAAACTGTATTGAATCAATGTACGTCGACACCTTCAAACAGTCAACATAGCCTTCTTCTGATGCAAGTCTGGCTTTACAAAAAGTGGCTAGCAAAGCGACCAATAAGAATCCGTACTTTTGACCTTCTTGTATTGTATTCGGGTACTTGAAAAAAATACAACAACTTCTCTAATTCCAACTTTATTGTACCCGAATCATAAAAAAAATAAATACAATAGAATAAAAACATAAATAATATATACCATAACTTCTATAATAAATATTACACAGACTAATAACGTCTAAACTTCTTAAAGCCCAAGCTTTCAGCAGCCAATTTCTTCAAGTCTTCGATAGTAATGTCGGGGTTGAGCACTGGTACTCCTTCCGGTCGCTTTGTCTTTTTCTCGATTACTCCAAAGTTGATCGAATGAGTTGGCAGTTTTTTGGCTTTCTTTTTGGCCGAAAACGCGGCCAAATGTGGAGCATGTTCTAGCTCTTCTATTGGTTGTTCTGGTGCCATTTGGGAAGCAGTTGGGGTGTGTGGTGCATCTTCAGAGGCTTCTTGTGCTTCTGAAAGTTGGTCTTTCATTTTTGATTTTTTTTGGAATTTTTACGCTTTCCAACATGTATGATACCGTATATCTGTATCAGTGCATAACTTGTGCTTTTAGTACCATTTTTATTTTTTGGTACTGTTGGTACACTTGGTATAATTTTAATAACTTTCAGTACTACTAAATGACATTTTTAATTTTAGTACATTTTCTTACCTTCTGGTACCTCTGGTACAGCCTCCAATTCTTTTGGCACTTTAGAAGCTTGTTTCAAAGCTACCGGTACTCCAGAAGCATCTTCTGCAGTTTCAACGGCTTCACTTGACGAAGACTTTTTGGATTTTTCAACAGATTCTGATGATGATTCGCTAGATTTGTGTATTCCAGCAGCTGTCGAGGTCTTGGCCAAGGCTCGCAGTTGTCTATCTAAAAAAATTTTAAAGTTAACATTAAAAATGGCTTCAAGTTACAAAAACTAGATATAGCCATAAAATATATCAAGTTTAACCGAGTTAGCGCCATTTTTAAACAATCAAACAAGAATTTACCTCTGAATAGTCTTCCAGCTGAAGGGTCAATAAAAGCAATTTTTCGTTTCAAGACCAAACTTAATTTGTCAAATTTCTCCACAATGGCTGAGAAGGCCTTCAAGCCTCTTGGAGAACGTTGGCCAAGTTCTTGTAAAGCATCTTGTTGTTTTACTACCTAAATCAGTCAGAGTAACTTTAAAAACATATGCCTTACCCTTTTCTACCTTATCCTATCCTATTCTACCCTACCCTTCCCCATCATACCCTACCCTACCCTACCCTACCTCATCCTTTCTACCATTCTCCACCTTATCCTACCTTACCCTTAAAGATCTCTTACCTCTACCAAATAATCGATCAATTTCTCGTCAGCATTGACCTTTTCCAATGCAGTCTTCAATAGCTTTCTGTAAACTTTTTGGACAGTTTTGTTGTTCAAAGCCTGTTGCATTTGAGCTGTAGCTGACTTTACTCTATTATCAGCCAAAACTCGGACAAGCGCTGCTTCGGCACCGGTCAAACCGGCCGTTAGCTTTGGGATAAGTTCTCGTTGGGCAGCTGGAAATTTTAAAAGCTTATTTTTTCGTCATCGGTAATGGAAGCTTAGGGTAGGATAAACTATAATAAAGCTAGAGGAGTGTAAGGTATGGTAAAATAAAATAAAGTAAGGTATAGAAAAAACAATTCAACAACACTTCCAAAAACCTACCATCAAAGCCTTTAGCCAACTTCTCAATATCACCCCCATAAACAACACCAGCCACACTCAAAATTAAACTCGCTACCACCAACGTCCTCATCGTCCCAATTGACAACAAAACTCTCGTTATCGACCATTTTAAACCATCTAACCGGCTAATTGTTACCTCATTGTCTCCAGTTCGAAATTCGAAAAACTGATCAAAACAAGTTTGAAATTTGCAAAAATCAGTGGAAAAACCCGCGCAATCACTTTTTATTGAATTTTGCAGTTTAAAAAAACTGACGGGGTAAAACGAAAAGCTTACGGAGTAAACATTTTAGTTAAAAATGGTTATAACTAAATAATCAACGGTGTAATCGCGAAGGGGAAAGAATGGAAGAGAGGTAGAGTTGACAAATAAGCGTTCAGATGGTTAGTGATCATCAATCATCTTGCTTCAGAAAAAGCATAATATTTTAAGTTGAAAAGCGTTTTCATTTTTCTGTAAAAATTTTGTTACCCTACTCTACCCTACATTACCCTACCCTACCCTACCCTACCCTACCCTACCCTATCTTACTTTATCATTATCTAGTCTGCCTTATCATGATCTGTCGTACCCTAACGTGCTTCACCTTAATTTGCTATAGTTTACCCTACTACATAATATAAAAATTATCGTAACCGCTGCTTCAATATACAGTAAAAAATTTAAAAATATTTTTATATTTGCATTACTTGATGTCCAAAACGATAAAGTAACAGTTTATTCAAGTAAACATCTGCATTTATGTATAATATCGTCTTATCCACTCGCCGCTTGTTGAATATCAATCTCAACCCCAACCCTCACCTTATCATCCTTAATAAACCCATTCTTCGGGTCATAAAGAACATCCAAATCAGACAGGTTCTTGGCTTCTAACTTCAATGTCTTTTGTGTAAAAGTATGTGGCACAACCCGTGAGAACTCTTTAGCATCGTCCGCGTTTAGTACTCGTACTTTAACTTTAGCTTCTGATACATGATCTTTCGGTATGTCACCTTCTACGTCAACCTCTAAGCAGAAATGATTTCCGTTACAGTTTGATGACTTTACAGTAAGAATTAATGGAATGTCATCTACTGTGACACCAGTGGAGACGGCCCATTTGCCACGGTTCTTGTAGAGATTGCTGAAGCTTGAGAGCTCGAGGATGTAAACTACTATTGGTTTTTGAGTTGGCTTGGCTGGAAAGATAATTTTTTAGAGTTGACTAGTTTAGCTTACTGTAGCTTTCGTAAAAAAATTTGTTAACTTAGAAAGATATATACGCCTTTAAAAATTAAAACTAACCTTGTGCTTGATTGTTCCTACCCACAACAGGCTGTGGAGCAACACTTGACACCTTAACATATTGACTCAACGGAGCCGCAGTTGAAGCCTTCATACGTTGAGTAGCTCTGGAGCTCTTAGGAATCTTTACTCCAGGTTCGTATTCACAGTTTGGTCCTTCTTTTGCATCTTCCACACTATTTTCAATGTGTGAATTTGGTGTAACGCTGTGAGCATTCACCGGAGAGCTGTTTTGTTGTGGACGTCTTGTCATTACATCTGGTTGGTTTGACCGTCTGGTAAAAACTTCATGTACGTTAGGGTTGTGAGACACACCAGGTGTTTTGGAGCTACGAGAAAGAATATCTGGTTTGTCAGAACGTCTACTAACAACGTCAGGTTGATTGGTTTGCGATGACACACGTTGTGGGCTAGCGGAGGCGTTGATCGGGCTTGGTGAACGTCTGCTAACAACATCTGGTTGTGATTTAGCACTTGAAGCACCTTGAGGTCTTGGTGAACGTCTGCTAACTACATCTGGTTGTGATGTAGCAGCTGAAGCTCCATGCGGTTTTGCAGAAGCTCTGTTTAGAACCTCTGGTTGAGCAGAAACTATCTGAGGCCTAGGTGAACGTCCGCTTACAACTTCCGGTTGATTGGTCTGAGATGATACTTTTTGTGGACTAGCGGACGCGTTCATATGGCTTGGTGAACGTCTGCTAACAACATCAGGTGGTGCTGTAGCACTTGAAGCGCTTTGAGGTCTTGGTAAACGTCTGCTAACAACATCAGGTGGTGCTGTAGCACTTGAAGCGCTTTGAGGTCTTGGTGAACGTCTACTTATAACATCCGGCTGGGTAGTAGCGCCTGAAACACCGTTAGCGTTTACAGACACTCCTTGAGGTCTTGGTGAACGTCTGCTAACAACATCTGGTTGTACTGTAGCGCTTGAAGCTCCTCGAGGATTTGCAGGAGTTCTGTTTAGAAGGTCCGGTTTATCAGAAACTACTTGAGGCCTAGGTGAACGCCTGCTTACAACATCTGGTTGTTTTGTACCGGCGGAGGCTTTGTTAGGAATTATAGAAGCACCGTTTGGTCGTGGAGAAGCTCTACTAACAACATCTGATTGTCTTGTAGCATCAGATATTCCATTAAGTTTAGCAGAGCGCCTACTAACAAAATCGGGTTGTCTTGTAGGATCGGATACCCTAGTAGGTTTAGCAGAGCGTCTACTAACAACGTCTGGTTGTTGTGTAGCACTGAACACACCTTGTGGTCTTGGTGAACGCCTACTAACAATACCTGGCCGACTGGTTTGAGCTGATGATGGGCGTGAATTTTCAAATTCTTTGTGTGATTTTGAGGATGCTCTACTAACAACATCTGGACGTCTTGTAACATTAGAAACTCCATTAGTTTTAGCAGAGTGCCTACTAAAAACGTCTGGTTGTCTTGTAGCATCAGTGCCTCCATTAGGTTTAGCAGAGCGTCTACTAACAAAGTCCGGTTGCTTAGACGTTCCTTGAGGTTTTGAAGAAGCCCTGCTTACAACATCAGGCTTATTAGAAACTCCTTGAGGCTTTGAAGAAGCCCTGCTTACAAAATCGGGCTGTCTTGTAGCACCTGAAGCTCTTCGAGATCCTGGAAAACGTCTGCTAACAATTTCTGGTTGGCTAGTTTGAGCATCGTCGTTGCTAATATTTTCTTCAGAGTTTGTAGAACCGTCACTTTCACTGTTTTCTGAATTTTCTTCTTCGTAAGTTTCAGTGGATTCGTAAACTACAGAAACTTCAACTACTTCTTCTCTAGGAGCTTCTGTAACTTCCACAGAGGCTTCAGTAACCTGTTCAGGAGCTGCCGTAACACCTTGAGTAGTTGTAGAAACTGTAGTTGGGGCTGCAGTAGTTTCTTTTTTCTTTTTGCCCAAAATAGAGTCCAAATCAAAGCCATGGCTCATTATGTTGTCCAAATTCTTTAGCATATCTTCAATGTTTCCTCCTATCTTTGATGGCGTAATTTTGCGAGCTGGTTGCTTACATAGGCCACAAGTGCGCGGACACCAACGTTCAATGATATTCCAATCGTATACTCCGCCATTTCTGTTACAGCCACCCATGGCTTTAATTGAGTCACAACTGCAATATTGTAGTGTCATAGCCTTGTCCTTTGTATTACAGTATGGTATATGTTAGTAATTCCGTATGTAAAACAGAATTTACAATAAGTTTTTATATAAAAAATTTTATCATACGCTGATAAAAAATAGATAGATAAAAAAACTTACGCTACAGCATCCCTACAATCATCCTCACACTGTTGACACGTATACGGACAGTATGTTTTCATCATACTAAAATGCGTATACACCGTGCAGTAATTCGCCAACGCATTACACATAAAACTGATTTTATCTTCACATGGCTTACCAGCCACGAAATACACCCCTAGGGCAATAAATACGCTGACAACCCGCATTTCACAAGAACAAAATACAAAAATAACAGTAGCTTATATAGAAAACAAGTTTTGATGTCACCGAATGTTGACATAGCTGCGTTGTTCGACTACAAACACGCAAAAATTTACAATTTATAAAACATTTTTGGCCGCCAACTTTTTTTGGGAACAGATGTGTGTAGGAAACGCGTGGGCTTGCAAATTGTAGGCTTGACAATGCGTGTTAAAGATTGTATTATGGTTTTTCATATTAAAGATTAAAAATAAATTTGTGACTGTTTAAATTTAAAAACAACTGTTTTACTAACAAGGAAAGTGCCCAACCTGTCCCGCTCTGATTGACTTCAAACTTGTTATAAAGTAAGACCATGTAAATATAAGATCTCCAGCAAAGTACTAAATCGCGCTTTCCAGAAAATCTCAAAAAAAAGATATTGAAAAATGACATTTTGAATTTCCCGCCAACTTGGCATTGTGTTTCAAGCTTGTAACTTTGTCAGTTTTTAACTTTTAATAATTTTTCTTCGACATACTAGTATAAAACCTTTAAATAAACCGACGTTTTTAAATTTGTAAACGTATCTTGTGTGAAAAGCTGAAAAAAGTCATTGAAGCACAATGCCAAATTTGCCAAATTGGACAAATAAATTTTAATTTAAAACTCAAAAGCGCGAGCTAAAATTTTTTATGGGTATTATTGATGGTACAAAGAATTCATATAAAAATTTTGAGCTGATTTCGAGCGGGGTGAGTAGGGTACTTTCTATTCTTTAACCTTACCAAAATTATTAATTTAGTGATTTTAATTTTTTATTTCACAAAACCAAAAACATTTATTATATATTTTTTTAATTTTAAAAAATTGGTTTTTTTTCAGTACTAGTGTTCGTTTTTGGCGGGGGATAATTTGTAATTATATTCAAAGACGTTTTTTCGCACTTTAAACTTTTGTTTTGTCTTTGAAAATGAATAAAAAGTAAGGCTAAAAGATTTAAAGACTATTTTTATTTATAAATCGCCGGACATTTTGGGGAAAACTGTTTTTGTATCAACACGTAATCGTTTTATGGCGCTAGGAAAAATGCCGTTTTCGGAAATTTTGATTTTTAAAGGGTTTTTTTTATTTTTTTAGTTAATTTACTTGTAGTATTGTACTAAGTGGTACTAATGTTTAAATTAACACTGTTTTCATATTTTTCTGGTGCTAAATGGTATTAAATTTAAAATTGGTACTGTTTTTATATTTTTTGGTACTAAATGGTACTAAAAGCCCAAAATGGTACTCTTATTTTAAAACCGTACCAATTTAAACTTTAGTAACATTTAGTATTATACTACAACTAAGTTAACTAAAAAATTAAAAAAAAAAAACTTTTTAAAAATTGTGTCTAAGAACCGCAGATCCACGTGTCCAAAAACCGCATTTGTCCTAGTGCCGGTTTTATCTGTAAAGCTCTTCTTGCCTTTCTGAAAATTCTGTAAAAGCAGGCTTTGAATCCAGAAATTTTTGTTTTATTTATTAAAAACCATGCATGTGCACGGCCGGGCGAGGACTTTTGGTCTGGGAGCGGGGGTTGAAAAAATCGGCACAGGTAGTTTTCACAAAAACAGATCAGGTTCAACTTTTTTGCGAAAATTTGAAATTTTTTTTCTGGGAGGGGGGGGTTCTCGTGTCCATCCCCCCCCTTAGCGCCCGGCCCTGTGTATATGTTCTGTATGTGTTTTTTACATATGCATGTTTAAAATTTTATTGTAAATAATCGTTTTTATCGTATTGTATGTCATTTTAACAATGAATATATATTAAAATTGTTTTTTTACTTGATATACTATGTACATTTTTCATTACCAAACTTGAATGTTTGAATAACATTGTTTAATATACTATGAATATTACTACACATATAATACATTACCAAGTTTTTATATAATCCTATAAAAAATTTTTAATTTACATATACTACACATTTTCACTTAATATACTACGACACTTTAGTAATATACTACGACACCTTGCGAAACGTATCTTTATTACATTTTGATTTTTTAAATTTATAATCTATACACTTAGACATGAGCAACCGGGCCGGGCCTGACCAAAATCAAAAACGGGCCGGGCTTGAAAATTAGGCCCGGGCCCAATAAAATTTTTTTAATTTTATAAAATTTTATATTTCCACATATACTCATATTTTTGATTATAATGTGTTAATTCTCGTAAAATAAAAAAAATTAATTTATACCAAAACTTTTTTTTGCAAAATTGTTTTGCCGAACTTAATTTATACAAAATTGTTTTGCTATTGAATTAAAAAGTATCAACTTCTTCTGTAGTTATTTCTGTAGTGTAACTACTTGCTAAACTAGGTGGGGGGTTCAAGGATTCGGTGCTTGTTTCCACTGAAATAATTTTCAGCTTATTTGTTAAAATGCTTCGTGAAGACTACGTGCAGATCCGTAACGCGTGCCAACTCACCTTGTTGCTGACTTATGGCTGTGGACGCGCATACAAACTCGTGTTGCACAACGCCCAAGCCTACCAACTATTCGTACAAAATGGCCCTTTTCGGCTAGTGAGTTTTAAATTTTTACTGCTACATTTTGTGAAAGTTTTGTTTTTAATTATTTGTGCTTAAACAAGTTTTGGATTCAAAATGCTTGCTTAATATAAAAGTTTTTTAATTTTGTGCGCTTTCAGCTCGTATGCTTTGACGTAACGTTCGTAACACCGATCCAGATCTGGCTAAAGCCATCGTCAAGTTTTTTCAAAATTTGACACTAATGAATAATACTCGTAAGCCAAAAATCGTTACAAAAGGAAAAGGCTTGAAAAGTTTCGCCGTAAAACAGTTTTTTTTCAGTTTGGAAGGGAGGGGGGGAGGAAGGGGGTTTTATAAATTATTGTCGCAGCGCAAACGCTCGTGCTGCTTAAATTTCGCCGCGCAACTTTTAACCGATGATTTAAATTTTAGAAGAAATGTCGCTTAAGAAGTTAAGCGCAGGGTTATACTTGCATGAACCATTTGAAAAAAATTTTCGAGTTATAGTTATTTGTGATGGAAGAATAGTTTTTACGGGTCTACCCGGAGAAAAATCAATTGGTTTATTGCTAAAAGCAAATCACTATGTGTTTTTCTGAAAAACCACATTTGCAATTGCCCGTAAGTTGCGAACAAAAGAATTCACATTAGTGTCGCAAAATTTGCTTTGATTGTGGTTCAATTGACTTTTATGCACATCATTCGTTCAAATGCCGTAGACTGCCATTCTTGTCTGCGTTTTGGTCCCCATTATCCCTGTAAACCGACAGATGGTGTTGACTATTTACATTGTAACCACTGCAACTTTTCATTTGCACTAAAGGTTTTCAAATTCTGCAAAGAAAACAATCGATCAGCCCACGCGGGCGATCCGTATTCAAATTATAATTTACCTTTTTGTTCATTTCCATTCGTAGTCTGAATAAATGCTTGTGACTACCAGTAAATAAGGATTGAAATTAAATTCTTATATGGTGCATTGCAAAAACAACGTAACTGAACGCCATATATTCTAAAGTCGCATAAAAAATTGGTGACAAAAAGTCTCAGCAGTCTCAACGACGTGCTGAACAAGCTCCAAGAACCAGTAAAAGCCGCTACACGACTGCCCGTGGTGGAACTACTAAAACGACGCAGCACCTTGGAAGATGCCATCCTCAGAAGCGAGTCCAAACTTCAACTTTTGCTTGCTTGTGAGCGAGTCAATAAAGAATCAGGCATCGACGACTATGTCAACAAAGCTACAGAAGCAATCGAAGAAGGCTATAATGTTAATAGATACCTGAAGGAGTTAATCATCGAAAAAGAACAGAAGGTAACTGACGAAGCCGAAGCGCAGACGGCAAGTAATCCAACAGCCACCCATCAAAGAAGTGCCGAAGCTACAATTTCAAACGCCCAAAGTTCAATTAACCAACTTTCAATGGTGAAGACTACACACAATGGCCGTCTTTTGCACAAACGTTCGAGGCATACGTTCACTCGACAAAGCTCACATCTTTCGAGAAAATTACGGTACTAAGAATGCTTGCAAGCCAAAGCCAGATAAGCCTTAGAATTGTACAAGACGATTGCCGAGAATTGTCACAGATTATTGGCATATTTGAAAAAGAGATATGAAGATCCGGCGATGTTAAAGCACACAAGGCTGGCGACGGTAGCAGGAAAGAAGGTCGGCCGTCAGGCCGAATACAAGAGGCCTAGATGCCACCGTCTCTGGATCGCTTGGAAATTTCTGCCCATTCTAGGTTTAAAGTTCTAGCCGCACGGTCAGTAAAAGTTTTAAAGGTTTTAAGGATATTCTGACTTTGCAAAGTCGCGGTATTTGCGTATATCGTAACCGTAATTAGTTTAGGCATTTCTTCCATATCAACAGTTCGTATCAGACTAAGGTTTATATCAAGATACAGTACCTACAGGATTTGTCCTGATACCGTATTAATAGTTTAGTATAGTATAAGATGGTCAGCCCTAGCACTAATAGGTTCTGAGACGAGCAGGGTCACTAACCCCCCCCACACCATGTAAATAGTTTCAGAAAAACAATGGAACCTTGGCAACCGAAGCTAACGTATTAAAGGTTCAAATGCACCGTAGTTTAACGATCTACATTGTCTCAACTACAACGAGCCTACATAATAAATTATACTGCACCAGCGCCATGGTTCGTGGAAATACAAATTTCGTAATATGCTCGTTTTAAAAATTGAAAATAATTTCAAAAAAACAATGGAGGCCACTGAAGCCAAACTTTTTTAGGTCCAAAGTCATAGAAGCCTAACGGTCTACGTTGTATCAATAACAACAATACACAATAAGCTTCACCGTACCGTAGCAGGGTCAGAGGCTAAACAGATTTCGTAGTACGGTTGATTGCATTTGGACAAAATGCCCTTAAACTACAAAATGCGGAAGAACAAAATATAAGTAAAAATTTTACTATGTCTAAAACATTTTAAGACTGATATAAATAAATTTTTGGTGTTATTTTAAAAATCTGTTTATAAAAAAATTTTAGATCAGATGTTACAACGTAAAGGACCGCAAACACAACTACCTGGCTACCGATGCCCCAAGCGAAGACCAAATAGAGCTGGTACTGTCGGATTCGAGCTGCGTAGGGTTCACGTTGGGCTGAAAAAGCTAGTGAGAGCGATAACAAATAGCTGGCCACTAGGTTGGCTATTTCTTTGCCGCCCTTACTAGTTTTTTTTCCGAAGGCCTCGGAGACACATTACTCTCTTAGGTACTGTTCTTAAAAATTTTTTACCGCAAGTTAAAATTGGTGTCATGATAAGCTTTTTAAAAAATTATTTCTTCTATTTTCCTTTCCTAACTATAGCTTAATTATAGCCAAAACTTATTTTCCAAATCAACCTGTTATTGTAATACGCTAAATTAACAAATAATTATGTTACAATAACAGTCTGTGCAAGAATAGGTGTCAAGGTTGTTATTACTAGAGTTCCGTGTCATTTACGTCATTTTCATTTTTTCGGCGATCAGCGAACAAAGTTTATTACACTGAAATCTCAGAAACGACAACTGAAAAGCTGACGGATATTCTAGTCGCTTCGAAGATATACTACTAAATATAACACATAGATTATTCTTTACATCAAAGATTAAATATTATTTGATCATCGATGCTTACTTTGGCTTAAAAAGTTTGTATTTTATTTTTAAAAAAGGTTATTTTTTATTTAAGTTTTGATTGGCGTAATATAGAATATAATCTTTGTTGTATAAGTACATTACTCATATTATCAAATCCAGCGCATCTCACTGTATATAAAAGCATTGTAAAAAAGCTCTTCTTATAACGCACGAAGCAGGGCTATTGTAAAGATTACTGCACAAAAGACGCTATATGAAGTAAACATTTGGCAACGTAAACCTAAAAATCCGTAAAATTAAAAAAGATAAATTTTGTATAAAAGATTTTATAGCACAACGCAAAACTTAAAACACAAAAAGCTCGTTTACTCCATAGGAGACTTTAAAACTCAGGATACAGTGTTAAGATGATCCATCCTAATATGATGAATTTATTTTTGTTATTACACGTAAAATTAACCCAGTTTGGAGATTTCGCTGAAATTTCAAAACTAGTGCGTATTTGTTTAGAAAAAACACGGGATGGTGAAAGGAACGACAGGGCACGGTATTTTCCGGACGGCACGGTGGTTTGGTTTTTTCTTGATCTTTTGCGTTTTCTTATGAAAATAGTGGTATAATGACGCAATTTTTATATATTTGTTGTTTTCTTACACTATACCTATCATAAAATCTTATCTACTCTATATATGTTTGGCTGTAGTGCTAACACTGGCCTATTGTACTAGTTAGTACTACCTTCAAACTTCCTGATATCTCAACATTTGTTTTTTTCTTCATCTTTTCTTTTTCTTTAACCCTCTCCAACTTTTACCTTTATTTTCTTCGGTTATCGCACGTAACAATTCGTATCTGCCCGCCCCAAAAAAAGTAAAATCTATTAACTTAACATCCAAGAAAACTTCAGAGTATATAAGCTGGTTTAAAATGCTACTGAACATCATCAACAATAAATATGAAGTTTGTTTTGGTACTGGCTTTGATTTGTGTTGGATTTGCCCAAGGCTTCTTCTTTGATGAGTACCCAGCTGCTAAGGGTAAGACTTAATCTAGTAAAAAACGAATTTGTTTTAGCCTATAAAACACCTTTAAATTTTTTTAGATTTTTCAATTTTAACATCCAAATTTTTAGCCCTGATCCCATCCGACATTGCCGACTTCATCCACAAACTTCGCCCCGATGAAGTTGCCATAATCAAGGCTGCCAATGCCCGCCATCCAGGCAATATCAAAGCAATCATTAAAGACATTGAGCACACTTCACCAGCGCTCGCCATTAAAGCTACCCCCATTGCTCGCAAATACCAAAAAATCGTACAAAGTTTCACCCCAGCCGGGCGAAAGTTCTCGGACGAACTTTTAAAGTCGATCTCATTGGCCGCTATTAGCCCAAGCGACAGCAAGGTACAAACGACCGCTCAAAGTTTGTTGACCAAATGGAACGCCTTGGATAAGACTACCCAAGCTCAACTTAACGCCAAGTTCCCTAATGCTTTGAGCGGACTTCAAAGTAAGGGTTTTAGAAACTTGAATTAAAATTTTGATTTTTAAGCCACTAAAATTCAAATTTTAAAACTGTCAAAAATCACCTTATAACAATTAGCCAAAACTTATAATGTTACACTATGTTTTCAGAAAAACCTATATTTTTACTATTTTCCAGAGCTAGCCAAAGAAGGCCCAACCTCATTCCGCGCCCGTGCTGCCGCCGCTCCACGTAAACCCGTTTCAAACCCAATCCCTCAACGCAAATTCCTGAAAGATGCTCCAAAGAAAGCCGCTAAGCCCGCTGCACGTGCTGCTCCCAACGTCCGCCCACAAAGCACCGTCTCTCAAGGTTAAGATCTACCAAAAGCTTTAGAAACATACCAAAAAATGAGATATTGAGTTTAAAATAAATTATTGATTTTTAAATTGAAAAATGCCAAATTTGCCAAATTGGCGGGAAACCAAAATAATTCAAATTTAAAACTCAAAAGCGCAAACTAAAATTTTTTATAGGTACTTATTCTATACCAATAACATTAAAGGTACAAAAGTCGGGTTTTAAACACAAATAAAGTTAAAGTAGTTGACCACGTTCGTTTGTACTGACGATACCAAGCTTGGTAAAGAACAGTTTTTCCTCTTGTGGAATATACAACTTTTTGTAGCTGTTTTCCAAGTCTGTAACACGATGATGGAACATTTTCCAGCATTTTTCGCCGTTAATCGATGCTGCAATGCCTTGCTCTAATAATGATATTCTAATGTCCCAGGTCGTGTTTGGCTTGGGTTGAGTTAGAGCACATCGCTCCAGATTCACAAACTTTCCTTTCTCCATATGACTCATTGCGATTTGCTTTAGTGTGGGCATAATGATAAAACAACCAATTATTTGATTATCATTGTTCATCACATATATGCTCCATCTATTATCACCCACTGACGCAACGATCTGAAGAGTTTCTCCTGAAACAGTAAGACATAATGTAGGGCAGGGCCTACGATACGGTAAAGCGTAGAGTAAGGTAGAGCATAGGGTACGGTAGGGCTTCAGGTACAATAGGGCTTAGGGTACGGTAGAGCCTAGGTACAGTAGGGCCTAGGGTACGGTAGAGCCTAGGGTACAGTACGGCCTAGGGTACGGTAGGGCCTAGGGTACGGTAGGGCCTAGGGTACGGTAGGGCCTAGGGTACGGTAGGGCCTAGGGTACGGTAGGGCCTAGGGTACGGTAGGGCCTAGGGTACGGTAGGGCCTAGGGTACGGTAGGGCCTAGGGTACGGTAGGGCCTAGGGTACGGTAGGGCCTAGGGTACGGTAGGGCCTAGGGTACGGTAGGGCCTAGGGTACGGTAGGGCCTAGGGTACGGTAGGGCCTAGGGTACGGTAGGGCCTAGGGTACGGTAGGGCCTAGGGTACGGTAGGGCCTAGGGTACGGTAGGGCCTAGGGTACGGTAGGGCCTAGGGTACGGTAGGGCCTAGGGTACGGTAGGGCCTAGGGTACGGTAGGGCCTAGGGTACGGTAGGGCCTAGGGTACGGTAGGGCCTAGGGTACGGTAGGGCCTAGGGTACGGTAGGGCCTAGGGTACGGTAGGGCCTAGGGTACGGTAGGGCCTAGGGTACGGTAGGGCCTAGGGTACGGTAGGGCCTAGGGTACGGTAGGGCCTAGGGTACGGTAGGGCCTAGGGTACGGTAGGGCCTAGGGTACGGTAGGGCCTAGGGTACGGTAGGGCCTAGGGTACGGTAGGGCCTAGGGTACGGTAGGGCCTAGGGTACGGTAGGGCCTAGGGTACGGTAGGGCCTAGGGTACGGTAGGGCCTAGGGTACGGTAGGGCCTAGGGTACGGTAGGGCCTAGGGTACGGTAGGGCCTAGGGTACGGTAGGGCCTAGGGTACGGTAGGGCCTAGGGTACGGTAGGGCCTAGGGTACGGTAGGGCCTAGGGTACGGTAGGGCCTAGGGTACGGTAGGGCCTAGGGTACGGTAGGGCCTAGGGTACGGTAGGGCCTAGGGTACGGTAGGGCCTAGGGTACGGTAGGGCCTAGGGTACGGTAGGGCCTAGGGTACGGTAGGGCCTAGGGTACGGTAGGGCCTAGGGTACGGTAGGGCCTAGGGTACAGTAGGGCCTAGAGCACAGTAATTACAACACCACTCACCAAATCCCCAAACATCTTCTCCATAGTATGGCAACGTCACATCTTCTTTAATATCCAATGCGTCTAACCGTACCAAACGAGCAATGACCCCGTAATTGTTTACAATATTCTGATAGTCAAACTCTAACGCTTTAGATTCCTTATTATTTAATACTATTTGAATACTGTTTTCACCGACAAACTTGATAGTAAAGTCGAATTCTGAATTCGGATGCAGATACTCTTCGAAATGGTACGTCTTAAAATCTGGCAGGTTCCGATCTAAAATTGGCTTGCATATAAAACTGGATAAAACATTTCGTGAAACTTCAGTACATAGAAGCGTAGTGGTAAAAAAAGATTTAAAGGTTGCTTGTTATGCAGAAGTTTTGTTATAGAGATGTGTGTTTTACGGGAGTGCCTCTGATTATGGGTTGGCTACAGCTTTATATATATATATGTATATATGTATCCTCTAAGCTCTATGTGAAGCGTGAACACACTATTAAGAGTTTGGAAAGGTTACAGTTATAGAACAAAAAACTCATTACCGTTTTTGACCTCCAAGTAACAGTCGTTTACATCATCTGGGTTGTAGTGATTTTCAAATCCCAAGAACCTGTTCTTTTCACCCCCATAGCTATTGTAATATCTCAAAACAAATTTAAAAGTGAAGTTGTCAGGAGGACCAGTCAGCCCTTGAACAGACAGTACGTTGTTGGGAAGGACGCCTTGTTTCCGTGGCCGATACTTTTCAAAATCGTAAACCTCTGCTGTAACATAAAATATGGTCAAAAAGACAGTTAGAAAACGCAACATTATCGTAGTAGAAAACTGAAAAACTTCTGTTGTAGAGCAAAGCCGGGAAATGTAGGCGGCCGCGTATTGTAGTGCTAGCAATCGTAAATTGTAGGCCCAATAGAGAATAACTATATTTACCGTAACAAACCGTCTTCACTGCCAGATGTTTCAAAGTAAACTTTCTTTAATTATACCAAACCTTTAAGTATATTCTGCTTATATATAGAGCATTTTTTAACAAATAACAGTGTTCACAACATTTCTTGGTGTCTCATAAAACCTGGGAACATATTATTTAAATTTATTGGCGTACATCAATACATCATTTCGTTGATAATTGTGTGAACAACAGCAAAAATGAATATGAATCTGAGAATTTTATTTAAAATTTTTTTTTTAAATTCAAATTTTTTAAATTAAATTTAATTCAAGTTTTCTTTACCTTATATCGCTTTTTCTCAAAATTTATCATGGCATTGTTAATTTTTCATACAACAACAAATAATGCATATTATAACTGTTAATTTTGCGAACTGTGTAAGGTAGCGCATTGCTATAAAATAAAGAAGCCCTGAGACTTTTTTAAAATTTATTATTTTGTAGTTATTTTGTGCACTATCAGAGTCAAACGACTTTGCTGTGACAATAGAGTTGTACGAGATGACATCGGGGTTTTCAAAACTAGACCTATAGGATGAAGTGCATCAAATTATAATAAAAACTGAGTTTATTTTTTGTTAACTGCCCCTGGCTAGCCTAGCACAGCTCTTCAAAAATGCGTTCACAAAATTATAACGTTTGATCTTCTTTTATCCTACATAGGTGTCGCTTTCAAAACCCGACTTCAATTTGTGCATACAGTGTAATCCCGATATAACGAATCTCAAGGGGATTGAAAAATCGTTTGCTGTAGCGGGGTTTCGTTATAACCAGTGTTTCGCCCGGACCGGTCCGGAGCGTTTTCACCGGTTCGGTCCGCAAAGAATTTTTTTTGTTATTTTTTTAAAAAGCAAAAGGCGCTAAAATTGCTTTCTTTACGCTTAAAAACTTAAAAATATATTTTATTTGCAGTTTTTAAAACGGCTTTATTAAAATAAAAAAAAATGTTTTTGCGGACCGGACCGGTCTGGCAAAACACTGGTTATAACCAAACTTTGCTTGTTAAAGAATCAGTGCCAATTTTTTTTAAATTTAACTCGTTATGGGTTTCGTTATAAGCAGAGTCATATTAGCCAATTTTCACTGTATTTTTCGTTTTTTTAAGTTTCAGGTGCGAGCATAGCTCAGGAGCTTTGAAAAACTTCACATACTACAGTACTTTTTGCCAAAATTGCTATACAACTTCTCCTTAAACCCAAATTATTGTAATACCGTAATGTTACGCATTACTCATATCTATTGGGACATTATGCCAATCTTAGTCATCAGCTCATGGCTAAGTACCATACAAGCTTATGACAAAGAGCCTTTCCAACAAGCATTCGAAGTTTTTGAACCACGAATTCGGAGAATCAATCTTGCCGATATCAACTTTGTTGATGGCGAGTTTATAGACAATAAAAAACAGACATTTTGGATAAAAGCGTTCATAAAGTGTACCGAAAAACATCCTTACTTCAAGGCGTACACTTACCGATGTGAACAATATTTTACAATTCATTACGATGGTGGAACATGGTATTTTACTGATTACGGTAGGTTGTAGCAAAACGGTAAGACAGAAGTCTTTTTTACTGTGCCGTAAAGCCTACGGCACATTATAGAAAAAGGTACAGTATAAATTACAAAAAGGTCATAGAACTGGACTTTAGATATATAGATATGACTGGGGTTTAGGTATATACAATACAACAGAGTACAATAGGGCCTAATTTACGGCAAATCATACGGTACAGTAGGGCTCAGAGTACATTAGCGTTTAAAACGGTGTTTCAGAAAACTTTAAAACTTTAGGTCATGACACAACAGAAGTGGAAAAATTGATGGGAGACAATCACATCGCAGTGACGCTTGAAGCCCAAAACGGTGGAATTCAAATCTATACGGGGCCTGACGATGCAAAACAAAAGTTACACAAATTTACCGGCCACTACGGTCAAATCGATCTATTGTACTTGTCTGGTCCTCTAACCAAAGGTTCCATCAAAATCACCTCACTGGTTAGTAACAAGTGGTATGCCCCAGTTGATATGACCAAAAGTACGTTTTCTTGCTTGGCAGACTGAAAGCCTAAAGCGTAGTTTTTAAAAGACGATTTCTGAGACCGTGAAGCATCCTGAAACGGCCGTGTGCCCTAGAAATTTACCCTCTGTTTTTACCTGATAAATCGATAACAAAGGCTTTTATATAAGACACATGGTAAAGCGATTTAGGCTAAAATGCCTTTTTATGCCATTTTTTGACTTAAAACAACTTAAATTTTGTAAAAATCCAATAATGCTCCAAAATCTTTGAAAATGTGCGTACATACGTTTTCAACCATGCTGAACAAAACTGTAATTGAACATTTTTTTCTATTTTTACCGTAACCTACCGTAATCCGACCGGTCGGTTATAAAAGTGCAAATATCTAAAAATTTAGCACGGATCTTCATGGGCAATTTTTACATATTCAAAATCTACATTAAAAGTAGATATTGATTGACTATGCGTTCACTTCTAGGGCTGCGTATTTTGGGGATTTTTGGCCGTTTAAAAAATTACCGTATCTTACGGTCAAAATATTTAAAAATCATAACTCCGTTTGTACTGCTGTAAATAATGTCAAATTTGGCATAGTTATGTTTTTGACTATTCTAAACAAAATTGTAATTGAAAATTTTTTCTATCGTTACCGTAACCTACCGTAACCCAAAACTACTGTACGGATTACGGTAGGTTATGGTAATAATAAAAAAATTTTATTTTTATTACGGTTTAGCACAGTTTAAAACACACATATACAATTTTTTGGAAAATAAAGCGTTTTACGAATTCGTTATTAATTTTTAATATTTTGGCTGTTTTTAAACGGCCAAATCTCCCCGAAATACGCAGCCCTGGAAGTGAACTATTTTCAAAGCTTTTGGAGCATTATTGGATTTTTAAAAACTTAAACTGTTTTAAGTCAAAAAATGACATAAAAATGCCAAAACGGCATTTTAGCCAAAGCTTTACGATGTGTCTTACAACTGTACTAGTCATCGATTTATCAAATAAAAATAGAGGGTAAATTTCTAGGGCACACCTCGCTTTACGGTCTCAGAAAGCGTCTTTTAAAGTATTTTTTTTTGAACTACAGTGGAACTCCTGTATAACGAAACTCCTTTATAACGAACAAATTTCAAATCCCCGAGCGATTCGTTGTACAGGAGTTCCACTGTATTTTTTTAAAAGTTTTACAAAATAAATTTTTTATTATTCAGGGAACCTATCATTGGGTCTTTTAGTCAAAGAATTAAAGGACGATTTTGACTTAATGTTAATTGGTGAACAAGATATCGTTATGTTTTACATGACTTTTCACGATAATTTTCTCAAGTTTAACTCTGATACGGAAGGTAGATATGGGAACGAAACGCGCTGTACCTTAGATTATATAGACCCAATTGAACTGGACAAAGTTTCAAACCTTACAATTTACATTGATCCAAAAGACAAACTACACGCTCATGTTATATCTAACGGTAAAGCATGTCCACCGTTCCAGATGCCCAACATGGCAGATTTTAATTTGAGTCAAAATCCGAAAAGAGGATTGATGCACTTTGTCAATAACCGAGTTGTTTCTATAATTTTTTAATTATCCTTGATGTTTTTCACCCAACGAACAAAAACCTTTTTTAAGTTCAACTTTTACAATAAACACTTTAATTTTGCTTTGTAGAACTCCTGTATTAAAGGTTTAAAGGTTTATTAAAATATTTCTACGCTATACAATTACAATTTATGGTCGGTGGAATGTAGATATAGTTAGATTATATGTTGTTGATGTCGACGATTGCGTTGAGATACTGCGTGTATGTTCCTGGATTGTTCTAGTTTTTCCTTGTTGTCCACTGGAGCTATCCTTGGTTTATGATTGATGTTTCTCATACTCGGGCTTCCCCCCAGTTTACACTGTTCACCGCATCACTGATTCGTGGGAGAGGTGCTCTATAGGAATTCTGGCTTGCCTATCATACACCTGTGTTGGCCAAGTGATGATGTGCCTATTCCCCGTGCTCCCAGCACTACCCATTCCTCAATGGGCCTGGGATGGGCAGAGGCGGGGGTCGAACCAAGGTCCTTCCGACTAGCAAGTGGCACCGCAACTACTGCGCTATCCCCGCGTTGTGTACCACTAGACCGAAAATAATCCTGCCGTGATCGCCAAATAGTGACAACGATTTCTCGAATAATAATATATAATAATATTTATTGTTGGTCAACAATATAATAGACAAAATCACTGACGATGAGACAGGTAAAACGTTCGACCGGACTTTGGACGTGGCTCTGAACTGATTGAATGACGCGCGTGCTTTTGGTTTGATCAGGGAAAGTTTGACAAATTTGCATAAATGTTCTAAATAACACGTTTCTTGATTGCGGTTCACTGTCTATATTCGCTCTTTTTTCAGCAAGGGTCATTTTCGGCCACTCAGAAGAAAAAGAATGAAAAACAGCGAAGACAAGTAAAGTTACCTAAAACGTAATACTTTGCGTCACATAAATAAACTCATAACTGACAAACAGAACTTTATTCTGTATCAAATAAAATCAAAAAATACAAAAGTCGGGGTTATTAACGGTCGAAAAAAAGTTAAAATACGTGACCTCGTTCGTCCGAGCTGATGACACGAAGCTTACTTAAAAAAAGTTTTTCCTGTAGTGGAATATACAGCTCTCGGTATTTGTGTTGCATGTCCGTAACACGATGATGGAACATTTTCCAGCATTGTTCGCCGTTAATCGACGCTGCAATGCCTTGTTCTAATAATGATATTCTAATGTCCCAGGTCGTGTTTGGCTTGGGTTGAGTTAGAGCACATCGTTCCAGGTTCACAAAGATTTCTTCCTCCATATGACTCATTGCAATTCGTTTTAATGTGGGCATAAAAATAAAACAAGCCACAATGTTTTGGTCGTCGTCCATCAAATATATGTTCCATCTGTTATCACCCACTGTCGCCACGATTTGAAGAGTTTCTCCTGAAATAAGAAAATGCACTATAGAGTTAATACAGTGGGAGCTAAAGTACGATAGAATCTTATGTACCGTAAGGCCTCTTAACGGAAAGACCAAAAACGTAGCAAACGGTACGGTAATTTTGACGCCACTCACCAAAGCCCCAAACGCCCTCACTATAGTATGGCAACGTCACGTCTTCTATAACGCCCAATGCGTCTAATCGTTCCAAAGCAGCTTGAATCCCGTAATTGTTTGCGTACTCATAGTTAAGCTCTAACACTTTAGACTCCTTGTTATTTAATACTACTTGAATACTAGTTTCACCGACAAACTTGACTTTAAAATCAAACTCTGAATTCGGATGCAGATACTCTTCGAAACGGTACGCCTTAAAATCTGGCAGGTTCCCATCTAAAGTTGGCTTGCATATAATAATAGTAATATTTAATGGAACGCATGTATAACGAAGCGTAGTGGTAAAAAGAGATTTAAAAATTGCCTGTTATGCAGAATTTTTGTTATAGTTTTGTATGTTATACAGGAGTGCCTCTGATAGCATAGGCTGGCTACAACTGTATATACATAATATATATATATATATATGTATCTACATAGCCCTATGTGAAGCTTGAACACACTATAAAGAGCTTTGAAATGCTATACATAGTTTCCCCCAAAAATCTTGGAACACCCTGTAGTTATCGAACAAAAAAATCATTACCATTTCGGACCTCTAAGTAACAGTCGTTTGCATCGTCTGGGTTGTAGTGATTTTCAAATGTCAAGAATCTGTTTATTGTGCAGCCATAACTGTTGTACGCGTTTAATTGAAATTTAAAAGTGACGTTGTCAGGAGGACCAGTGAGTCCTTGAACAGACAGTACGTTGTTGGATTCGAAGCCTTGTTTTCGCGGCCGATACTTGAAAAACTGCTGAAGTTCAGCTGGAACATACGATATCGTCAGAAAGACAGCTAGAAAACGCAACATTATTGTGGTAGAAAAAATCTGGCAAGTTGCTATAGTTTAACAAAACAAACAAATCACTGTAATAGAACAAAGCCGGCAAATTACTGTAGTATAGTGTCAGCAAATGTATACGGCCGCGTATTGTAGTACCAGCAATCGTTAATCGTATTTGCACTAGCTCAGGAATATTTACTGTAGCAGGCCGTATTCTCTCTCAGATTTTTTAAAGGAAACGGTGGTCGAACATGCTTTACTTTTGAGTATATTGTACTATATATATTTAGCAACCTTCTCACAAAAGAAAAAACACAGAAAAATATTTTTAAATTTATTAACGTATATCAATACATCATTTCGTTGATATTTGTGTGATCAACAGCCAAAATTAATATTAATCTGAGAATTTTATAAAAAAAATAATTTTCTTTAAAAATTTGAATTTCATTAACGTTATGCGCACATTTTTCTCAAAATTCACCATAGCATAACAATTTTTCATAACACAATAAATGGTGCATTTTACAGCTGTTAATTTTGTGAACTGTATATAGGAGCGTATGGCTACATATAAGCAAAAATTTATTGGGTTTTTTTCTAATTTTAGCATTTTGTTGTTTTACGCCCTAACAGAGTCCGGCTGATGACTTCTTAGAACTCACAAGGAAAGTGCCCTACCTGCCCCGCTCAGATCCAGCTTAAAATTTTTATATGAGTTCATTGTACTACCAATAGTACATATAAAAAAGTTTAACTCGCGCTTTTGAGTTTTAAATTTAAGTTATTTTAGCTTCCCGCCATTTTGGAATTGTGTTTCAAGCGCTTCAAAAATGGCGTATTTATAAGCTTGAACATAATCCCAGTTTGGCGGGAAATTCAAAACGCAATTTTTTGATCTCGATTTTTTACAGATTGGCTGGAAAGCGCAATTTAGTACTTTGCTGAACGTTTTACATTTACATTATCTTTCTGTATAAAAAGTTTGAAGTCATTCAGAGCGGGGCAGGTGGGGTACTTTACTTGTCAGCAAGACTAGATTTTTTAAATTTATTTAAAACGGCCGTGCCTAAAATTTTGACACCGGGCCTGGGCCGTGTTTTAAAAGTGGGCCCGACTTGCTTCTGACCCCTAAGCAGGAAAGATCACTTTTTAAAAAACTTCTATGGAAAAGAATCCGTTCTCACACCTAGAAAGGGGACCTCCTTCCCAGCGCCCGTCTTGTTCACTGTAATGGTAATTAACGATTATTTTTTCTAAATCATTTCCAGATTTTTGTTTAGGCCCGACATAGCCAAAGACATTTAAAAAAGTCACATACTTCTGCCCTTTTTGCCAAGATTACTGCACCACCCTAATGTTAAGTATCACTGATACTGATTCTATCACTATACCAATGTTAATCGCCATCTCATGGCTGAGTGCTATACAAGCGTATGACAAAGAGCCTTTTGAACAAGCATTCAAACTTTTCAAACCTCGAATTCGAACAATACGGCATGGCGATATCAACTTTGTTGATGGCGAATTTATAGACAATAACACACAGACATTTTGGATAAAAGCATTCATAAAGTGTACCGAGAAACATCCTTACTTCAAGGGATGGACTTACCGATGCCCACAATATTTTACTGTTTATTACGATAGTGGTACATGGTATTTCACAGATTACGGTAAGTTGTAACAAAGAGAACGGCAGAGCGTATGTATTCTTACAGTGACATAAAACCTAAGGCACAATAAGGCTTTTAATTTAAGGTAAGGCCTCGGGTACGGTAAGGTTAAGCTAGGGTTCGGCTTTAGGTAAAATACAACGATAATTACGGTAGGGCATACAGTGCGTTAAGATCCAAAACGGCGTTACAGAAAAATTTAAAACTTTCAGGTCGTGACTCAACAGAATTGAAGAAATCGATGGCAGACAATCACATAGCAGTGACGGTTGAAGCCCAGGACGATGGAATTCAAATATAGAGTCGACGAGGCAAAAGAAGCCTTACACAAATTTACCGAATACTACAGTCAGATCGACCTACTGAGCTTGTCTGGTCCACTAATCAACGGTTCTATCAAAACTACTTCAGTGGTTCGTGAGAAATGGTATGCCCCAATCGATATGACCAAAAGTATGTTCACAATGCGCCTTAAATTGAAAATTTCGCTTTAACAGAAACCCCCACTTGAGTTTAATACAAAGAAAAATACCAAAGTAATGCTTTCATCATTTAGGAAACATAACACTAAGTCTTTACGTCACATCGCATAGCCAAGACTTCGGCTTAATGGTAATTGGTGAACAAGATATCGTTATGTTCTACACGACGTTTCGAGATTCGACCCTAAAGTTCAATTCTGATACGGAAGGTAAATGGGAACAAGAATATCTTTGTAACGGACAGGATATAGAAGAAATCGAACTAAACAAAGTCTCAAACTTCACACTTTACATTGATCAATATCACAAACGACTTCTTCAGGTTATAGTTAACGGCAATGAATGTCCATCGTTCGTAATGCCCGATATGACAGCGTTTAATTTAAGCCAAAATCCGAAAAGAGGACTGATGTACTTTGCCGGTAACCGAGTTGTTTCTTTAAATTTTTAAGAATATATTTGATTTTTTCGACTCAACAAACAAAAATCTTCAATTTTTACTTTAACAAACAATAAACTCTTTAATTGTGCTTTACAATAGAAGTAATGTGTAACGAATTCCTCTATAACAAAAATCTCGAATAACGAACAGTTTTTAAATCTCCGTGGAACACTGTAAAGTGCATTTATAACCCATGTTTAACAAAACCCCTTCATAACGAACAAATTTTAAATACCCGAGAAAGCGCTACCTAGAACTGGCTCCCGGCCTGGACTTGAGGATTCAGCCGGGCCGGCAATTTTACACAAAAAATTTTTTCTTTCTTATTTTTTTTTCGGGAAGAAAAGGGGGCGGAGGTTGCGCCTTTCTTTCGCAAAAGGAGGCGGAGCTTGCGCTTTTCCCCGGAAAAGAAGGCGGAGCTTGCGAATAGAGGTGAGAAACGGGCCGAGATTTGGGCCCTCTCGGGCCTGAACAGGCCCGTTTTTTAAAAATTTTTTTCCCGCGCTTTTTTTCTACTGGTCGAATTGGTCTGAAACTTTTTCTACTCCTATGTTTTGAATGGTCCTGACTACTATAACTAGTCTTAAAATTTTGATATCTCTTATCGTTTTTGAGATATGGACTTGGCGGGAAAAAAATATTCAAAAAAACGGGCCCAATCGGGCCCAAGGCCCGGCCCGTTTCTCACCTCTACTTGCGAATGCGTTTCCCCGAAAAAAAGAAACTTTTTGCGACTTCGGCTTCCAAAAAAATATTGCAAATCACTACTCCTACCTCTAAACATCTAAAAACAGCAAAAATATTTATTGGAATAACAAAAATCAACGAGATTGAAGATCAATGTCGGAAAAATCTGATTCATGTCGAGGCTTTTCATTCTCTACCACAACATCCTCGTCTTCTTCGCACTCGCTTGAACTTGAATTGAGACAAAACTGGGATTCGGCCTAAAAACGTTTTGTTAATATTACAAAAATTTCAAATTTCAAAAAAAAATCGAAATTTTTTAATAAAAAATCGAAAAGTAGGGGTACGATAAAATTACTGTAACTTTATAATTACGTGAGTTTAAAAAATCGATTTTTTGAGGTTAGATAGGTTAATAACCTATTAATATCTATCCGAATTTTCAAGTTTCTTACAACCATATAAAAAAAGTTATGGCAAAAAACAAAAATTTTAGACTTTTGAAAATATTTTAAGAATTAAAATAAAAAAACTTAAGATTTACCTTTTCTGGAAGCAGATTTTCCTGTTTCTTCTTCACATCGGTATACGCTTCCTTGTCTTTAGCTATTTTGGCATTCGCTGATAATCTGACAGTCACTTTTGGAGACACAAGTTCCTTGATTTGATCGGTTTTAATCGACCAGATGTCTTCGTTTTGGGTCGGCAGGGATCTAGAAATAAATTTTTATTAGTCAACGGATTTTGAACTTAAATTTTTGTTACCTAAAATTCACATTTTCATCGTATTTACCACTATAAATAAATAACTAAGTAAAAATTGTAGTTTCTTACGTATGATTATCAATTTCATGGCCAAAAAGCCTCGCAAACCAATTGGAAATCAACTGCATTCCATAGCTGAATGCTCGGCAGCCCAAATAAGGAACCTCTTCTTCAGATGACATCAAAACACTGCTTTTCAACTTGAATATCAACCAAAATGACATTTTTCCAAAAAATCAAAAATTTTAAAACAAAAAAAACTTTTCAAAATTCAAAATTTTGCTCAAAATTTTGACACCTCTATAATCACTTTCGCATTTTTTGCCTTTACCGTGCGGTTGTCGACCCTCTACAGCGCGGTATATTCCTCATGCTGACCAATTTCCTGGTAAACTCTTGGCTAAAAGCAGGTGACGTTCCCGGCGAACAGGGCAACGAGTGGTGGGTTTTAGTGCTATTAATGACGTCTTCAAATACCATTGACATGCCTAAAAGTAAAATTTTAAACCTTCAATTTGAGGTCAAATTTTAAAATTTTTAGTCCACGAACAGCCAGTCCCACCGCTAGCTTCACTGAATCGGATCCGAAGAATACCAAAAGTGATAAACGTGAACGATTACAAAATTGTGTCACCACAGCGTTTGGCATAACCGTGGGACCACGACCAACTCCAAATTCATGTCATTACAAGGTAAGAAAGCGTCTCTGTGGATTAAAATATCGAAAAAATAAACCAAAAAATTTTCTTCATACCTACTGTTTAAAAATTTTACTTTTTTCGATATTGTCGCAGCTAATCTGTACTCATAATTCAAAAATAGCACACACGTCAAAAAGAATTGACCATTTTACTAAAAATTTACTCTTAAAATCATCCGATTCTTTTTGGAGCGTCCCTATAATAACTTATTTTTTCACATTTTTAACATCCAAAACATTGTTAAAACTAAAAAATAACTTGTGAATTAGAAAGTAAATAAAAAGCAATTTAGACTGAAGTAAAATGTCCAGAAAGTTTGTGGAACAGATTAATGTTGGCGGAAAACTCTTCGAGGATCCGGACTTCGAGATGAGCTCATTGAAAGATCGCTTCCCAAAGCTCGAATTCAAACGTCCTCCTGTGAGTTTTATATGTAAAAGACGCAAAAGATTCTGTATTTAAAAATACGAGAATGTAAAAGTCCATTTTTTATGAAAATTTTGAAAAAGTCCGAAAAAACCGCCAAAAATCGGGTTCAAATTTCCGTCGAAAGAAAATTTTCAAACACTGATTTTCGACTAATTTGCAAAATATTTGAATAGGTTTAACTGTCCTAAAAATTTTGTAAATCAAAGATTTTTAGCTTAAAAATTAGGCATTAAATTATACTTGCTTTTTTTCAGGAAATTTGCCAAGATCCAAAGTTTTTCATCAAGGGACGATCATCTAAACCATCAGGAAAGAGTCAAATTGGAGATGCCTGGTTCCTGCCGGCCGTTACTTTGGTCGCATCACGTCCAGACTTGATTGAGAAGGTCTTTGATGTCAACCAAAGCTTTGAGAAAGAAAAATACACGGGAATGTTCAAATTCAAGTTTTGGTTGTATGGAGAATGGGTGAATATTGTTGTAGACGATAGATTGCCGGTAAATGGAAAGAACTTGATGTTCTGTGGCGTGAATGATGAAGGTTTTTGGATGGCTTTGCTGGAAAAGGCTTATGCGAAGTGAGTTGACGTATATTTTTTAGTTTTCTTGAAATTTAGTTTTTCTTCGTTGGCAAACGTTATATTGTACATGAGGCTGATGGAAGTGGATTTTGCGTAAAGGGTACATCTTAGAACTAGCTTAAATTTGGCGTAGAGTAAGATAAGACTATCAGAATCGTATTTTACAGTATTTTCGGTTTAATTTTTGTTGATTTATTGGTTTGCTATATTGTTTTAGGGGTAATAGTTTATCAAAATAATTTTTCTTGCTTTTTCTTTAGAATTATCTCATTTTACGATATTGTTTTAGGTTGATTGGTTCATACGACGCAATAACTTGTGTCGGCTATCCCTTTTCATTGCTATGTTTAACTGGTGGAATTATCGATACGGTACACAAATCTGAATTCGAAGCCGATGAATACGAAAAATTGGCTCAGGAAACTGCGACTGGAGTGTTGATATTAGCGCTGACGAGTTACGATTTGCCGTTGGGAGGAATAAATGGACTTTTACCGAATCAAGCTCATGCTCTTACTGGGCTTATTGAGGTAGAAATGAATTTTAGGATGATATAATTTTAAAATTTAAAGTCGAAATTTAAAGGTTATTGATTTTTGAAAATTCTGTAAACATAATATTTTTAGGTAACATTTAAAAAATGGTTATTTTTAGGTAAAAACAAGCAACAACACGACGATTCAGCTTGTCAAACTGTGTAGTCCATGGAACACCGTCAAGTGGACTGGAAAATGGTGTGGATCTAAAACAACTTGGGCAGAAATTAACGCTTCGGATAAGGAGAGGTTGATCAAGGAAAAGACTGAAAATGAGTATTGGTAGGTCTTTTAGTCCATTTTTTTAAATTTTTTAGGTTTATATTTTAAAGAGTTCGAGATTTATTTAAGTTTTAAAAAATTTTTATAATTTTTAAAAATTTTTGAATTTTAAGGATGGACTGGACTGAATTTGTCAAGCTATTCGAAAGATTGTCCAAATGCTACGTTACTCCGAATGCCTTGATTGAATGTGTTGAGAAAGTGCCGCCAACTCAAAAGGAATCAACTTCAATTCCAGTACAGCATCATTGGAGAAGAAAAACAAGTGGTGGTGCACCTGGTACTGATCGGAGTAGGTTTATTTTTATTTTTTTTTTCGTTTTTATGTAGCTTAATTATTCTACGAATTTTTAGACCGTTTCCAGAGAAACCCTCAATTCGTGGTCAATGTCAGTTATATGAATGAGGGTGAGAAGGGGAAGATTCCGGTAATCTACAATCTGCTCCTAAAATACGGCGAAAAAACGTCGAGGAGATGCATTGCCAGTGGAATTGTGGTTTACAAGATGCCAGACGAAGAGAGTGGAAGGTTCAGAAGGTTTGACGCCAATTTCTTCAACGATCCTACGAATCAACCGGTCTACACTCAAAAGGTCTTCAAATATTGTGGGGTGGGTTAATGGTTTTTTAGTATAATTTACTTCTAATGAAAAATGTTGTAGAATCTTCAGTAAACAATGTGATAAAATCCTCATTTCTAATGAAGAATGTCATAAAATTCTCATTTATATTGAAAAATGTCATAGAATTTTCATTACTATTGAAAAATGTCATAAAATCCTCATTTCTAATGAAAAATGTCATTTTTAGTCTGCCGGCTATCTTAAGTTGGATCCGGGAGCTTATGTGTTTGTGGCCTCATCGTTTGTCCCAGAAGATCACGGAACCTTCTTCTTGAGGATTGTCGCTCAAGGGAAGTTACTCGTTTCGTAAGTGTTTCATTGTTTTTAAGAATCACGAAAGGACCCTATCTTACCATCACCTACCCTACCTTACACTTTTACACCCTTCTTTACCTTACCCTGCGCTACCCTATCCTACTTTACACTGCCCTGCCCTACCTTTTAAACAAAGCTTTCCTACTGTGCTCTACTCTAAAATAAGTATATTGTATATATTTCGAAAATTGAAAATTTTTTCGAAAACGTGTTTTTCAATGAATTTCAGTGACATTTTTTAACTTTTATGGTTACGTTCGTTTTGATGATTTTTTTTCTTCAGAGACCTGGAATGAAGCATCTGCAGACTGGCCAGCCAATGTGATTCTACTATCAGTTTTTTGTTTGCTTCAACTACTCGCGACTACTAGATCTCGATCGACTTAATTTTGTCTTTGCTTGTGGTTTGAAAAAAATAAAATTTTGAATTTGAATAGGTGGTTTTATCGAAGTTTTGTTATTGTAACAAAATATGATACTTGATACTGTACATTGATTTATTGTAATGGTTTTGAGGGTTTTATTCTAGATATTATGTTAGAGGCGACTTATACTAGCTTACTTAAGCATGACTTTGTGAGTCTTGCCATTTCCTTATCGTAGCCTTGCCGCGGCCTTATTATAATTTTAGCCTACCCTTATCATAATAGCCTAGCTTTATCTTTTAGGGTTTATAAATGACAATTTGCATGAAGTATTTTGTATTCCCAACAGACCAGATTTAGTGTGATACATGATGCTTTTAGTAACTTGGTTATCGTGCACTTCCTTTTCAAAACGAAACGTTCAGATGAGCAAAATTTTGAGATTTATTAGGGTTTTTGAGCTTTGCTGCCCCTAGCCCCGCTTTTCCTTACCCGCCTATTCCTTAATTTTTTTTGCCTTTCCCTGCCCTACCTTGCCTTGACTTGCCTGCCTTATCCCTGTTCTGCCCTGCCCTACTCTCCTCTGCCTCGTCTTGCCTTGCCATTCTTTACCTTACATATATCTCCCTATTCTACCCATCTTACTTTACCCTACCCTAATTTATCGTACCATACTTTACTTTCTTTCCTGTACCCTTTTCTGCTTTACCTTACTCCATTATCATGTTTTAATATAGCCTTAAATTAACCTCATTGTATCCCTACTTTAGCTCTACTTCTCAACTACCCTAGCCTATTTTAAAGATTTTAAAAGAATTGTCCACATGAACCTCACAAGATTGTACTTTGTCATCGTTTTCCCCCAATGTTTGCCTTCAAACTACCCTTTTTTAATTTACACTTCCACAATTTTGAGTTTTTTGCACTTTCCTAGCCTTTCTCAGCATGATGTAAAAAATACGATGTATACGTTTGTATAATTAAAACGACGTTGAATTGTTTGACAATGGCAGTCTATTCCGGTCGATTTTGGACTTTATTCGAAGTCTTTTTTAAACAGTAGGCTTTACTCGAAATCTTGTGTTAGGCTTTACAAAATGTGGGGTTGCCGAATGTTTGTAATAGTTTTGCAACACACGACGTGTGTGGCGGGGTATTTTGCAAATATAAAGATGGTAAAACTACAATAAGCTCTTGTGTTGCTCCCATTAGGCTACCCTATGATAGGGTAGGCTAATGGGAGCATTTTTTATAAACCAAAATGACCAAATTTTCATTTTGAAATTTTTTCGACATTTGAAAACTGAAATTTAGGTATCAAAACCCAGACAATTCATCAAAATTTAAGATTTTGTTTACATTTTGCACGTTTTGTGTCGCGCTCAATTTCAAGAACATTATGTCGTTTATTTGAGGACTTAAGCCCGCGGCATTGTGTAAACTTTGATACGCTACATTATTTATTGCTTTCTTAATGTTTCATAAATATTTGTCTAGGGAAAGACGTTCCGGGCTCAAAACGTGAACTTTCTGAAATTTTTTAAAGTTACTGTGACCTTCTATTTACTGTATTACTGCTTTCAGTAAGTAGCTTGACTTGAGCCTTATCTTAACCCAGAGTCTAATTCGGAGCCCGCAGAGAGCCCTAACCATTGGCATCTAACCCTAGCCTTAACACTAGTCCTAGCTATAGCACCAGCCATTTCCCTAAGTTCACCCCTAGTCCTATTCCTAGCCATTGTCCTAGTGCTAGCTTAGAGTCTTATCACAGAGCCCTAGTTTATAGCTCTAGCCCAGAGCCCTATCTCTGTTCTTATCTATAGCACTATTCTTAGCATTAACCTACCCTAGAACTACCGTAGCCTCTATGCCGGTCTTAAGCTTTTCTACACAAATTAACGCTACCCTATCTTACCTTATGCATACCGTGGCCTTATCTTTTGTACTGTCTAGACCATCCGCTGAGCTAGGCTACTCTCTACTATGCCCTGCCTTATGCCGTATCTACTATAACTAAAAAAAAGAGCTGGAACTATCTACTGTACCTCGATTCTACCTCCCTTTTCTTGGTTACTGCAATGCTGCTTTACCCTAGCAATCTACAGCAATTGCTATTTGAATATTTGGCCAAATACGAAAAGCGTGCTCTCTAAACTTTAATTAGTCGAAAATCCGAAATCTGGTGGTTCTTGGAAGAGTAAGTAACAGTAATTGGCACGTGGGAAATTGAGACGTTTTTGGGGGTCGCGTGTTTTACATTTTCAATTAGATAAATACAAGTACGTGGTACTTTTCGAGCACTTTTTCTGGATTATTCATCTTGATATGATTTTAATGGGCATTTTATTACAAATTTTAGTCGTATTTCATTAAATATTTAATGAAGTTTTCAAAACTTTTTTTTTAATTTTTTGGTTTCTAGCCAGATTCTAGTCTTATCCTAGGCCAACCTTACATTATCCTACCATTTTAGCGATTTTTTTGCTTTGAAAAATATCAAAAATTTAAAATTTTTTATTTGAACTTTGTTCTAGTTCTATTCTACCTACGCTGCCGTGCCCTGCATTCTCTTGCCTTCGCATACCTTACTTAAGATCCTACTCAATCATATCCTAACCTTAGGCTTATCATGCTTTATCCTACTATACAGTACAATACTCTATGGGTAAAATTTTCATTTTTTAAATTTAGTTTTATGAAAAAATTAAAAAATTTTCAACTGACATTCCATATGACAATAAACCCCAAAAATCAACCCTAATGACGTAATTTGTCTGATTTGTCAAATGTCGAAAATTGCCATAAATCTTGGTGCTTACGTACATATGAAACCGCCATTGTGTCTCCAACCTATAAACAATTGTCTTGGCAATAAAACACTGACAATCAACAATAAACGCTCTTGTTTTTTTTTCATGTTTTAAAGCTGTTTTTTGGGGATGAGTTTAGTATTGTTTGATAGTAAATTGACTTACATTTTAAAACTTTTTGTGTAGGGTAGGGCACGGCATTGTAGGGTAGGGTGTGGTAATGTAGGGTAAGACAGGGTAAGGTAGGGTGAGGTTGGTTAGAGCAGGGTGAGGTAGGGTAGAGTAAGTTCAGCCTAGGCTAAATTAGGGCTAACGTAAAAAGCTACATCTCAAACTTTTTTGTCCACCAAATGACACTTTTAAAGGACCAGTTCGCCCATTCAAATATCATTGGCATTCTGTCGCAAAAATTCGACGTTCATTTTTTTCGCAAAAAACCTGAGCAGGTCGGTCCCAAATTGGAAAATTCATTTCCACACCGACCCACTCACGTTTTTTGAGAAAAATGATTTTGATTGAAATTGCCTGATTTTCGACGCTTTTTGCGACAGAATGCCATTGATATTTGAATGGGCGAACTGGTCCTTTAAATAACTTCATGGCTTTTAAGAATTAAAAAATAACTATAAGTTCTATTAAAAATTCCTTTTTACTTTTTGAAATATAAAATTTGATACGTTAGTAAATATAACCTAAAAAGAAAGCCATGAAGAAAAAAATAGTAATTGTGAAAAAGAGTAGACCAGTTTTCGCTATAGTACGCATTGCTCGATGGGTAATTTTAGTGTGGGGGTGGAGTTCATTATTTTACAAAGTCTGAAAATCAAATTTTTTTTCTTAGAATTCAATAGAGGAGGGGGGGGGATAGCAATTTTATTTTTTTTTAACTTTAAAATTTTGTTTTTTTCGGGACAGTAGCGCCCTAACTACTAAGACGATCTTTGAAACAAACTAAAAAATTGCTCGTCAAAGCTAATTTTAACTGAAATCACAATTTTATTTTCCACGTCCTGTCAATCTTGTTCTTATATATCATTTTTATACCTAACGCTTCAAGAACATGGCAGTCCTACCCTACCTAAATTACCAAGTGTATGACACTATACTTTATAAGCATGACAGCTTTCCCTCCTTTTATCCCCCTCAACTTCCTTGCAGCTTAATGTCACTTTTTCATAAGGCATGAAGCAGTTAAACGAGCCTATAAAAAATGTTGACTTTTTGGTCTTTCATTTTATATAATCCAGCGTGCAATTTCATTGAAGTGCAATTTGAGAGCGTTCAAAAATGGCTACAAGGTTATTGAATTAAGGAAACAATGCGTTCAGTTGTTTTTTATTCGTAGTTTAAAATTGCGTTTTAATGGTGATGGTACGGTGAGTGTTTGGCCGTTCCGTTTGCTTACTATTGGGATATGAATTTTGGTGTAGTAGGTTGGATTGAAGGGGATTAAAAATTAATATATTTTTTTTCTACTCTGGCTTTAGCTGCCCTTAAATACTCTGCCATACCCTCCCCTACACTACTCTACTATGCCATACCGTACCCTACCCTACCTTACCCTGCTCTACTTTACCCTACCTCACTTTACTCTGCCCACCCAACTTTACGTTCCGGTATCCTATCCTACCTCTCCTTCTTTGATATATTGTACCTAACTTACCTTCGAATACCTTACCCTACCATGCTTTTACTATACTCTACCCTACCCTACTTTACTGTTTTTACTCTACCCTAGCATACTCGACCCCTACCCTAACCCCTCCTTCTCCGCTCTACACTACCTTAACTTTCCTTTGCTTTTCTTTAGTACCACTTTGACCTTATCATACCCTCCTTTGTCTTGCCCTAACCTTTTGTGCCATTTTTTCTTATTCTACTTCAATTCCCTATCCTGCCTTTTTTAAATGTAGGTACTTCATGTAGCCTTAATTCAGAAGACAAAACAATTGCGCAACATCTCCCCTACTCATTACTACGTTTCAACATGCAAGTTTCCCAATTATTGATACATATAATGAATACCCAGACGGTCTATAATTAAAACGCCTAATCGGCTCCAAGTAACTAGAAAATATGCATAGTTATAGCTTCACAGACTCGTTGCACTTTTATTTTATCTTTTTTACGAATTTTGGATTCTGCATTTTGGTTATTTTACTGTGATATTAATGTTTTAATCTAACATGTGCGTGC